ATTCTACAAACAACATTTCTGATTCAACAGAACTATAAAAACAAGTTGCTATTTTCATGAATATAAACCTCAATAACAATAAAATACAACTGTCATAACGTATCCCCAGGCCTTAACAGTTTTGCCGCTATACAGAAAAGCGCAGTAGCTCTGTGCAGAGTCTTTGGAAATCAACTATAATAGTGCCTACGACAATTTTTCCAAAACCATTCAAAAACAATTCTGTTTTGACCTTTCTTGTCCTGAGTAATACATAGAGGTACAAAGGTGATTGAGTCATTCATTAAGTGGCTATAATATAATCAAGTCTAAAATCATTCCCAAGAGCATCTCATATCAGGAGGGGACCTGAAGGTTCATCTATTACTGCAAACTGGGTGTGACAGCAAATTACAATTTGTGCATGTCTCACATGTTCAAAGAAGGGAGGCTAAATAATTCCAAAAAGCAATGTTACTATTTGCCATTCAGCAGACATCTTTGAGAAATTTCTAGATATGCCCAACACATCATAGAGCAAAGAGCCTAATAAATAACATTGATAGAATCATTAAATCTCCATTTACATAACTAATAAGAGGAGCAAGACAGTACCCTGTAAGCTCAGCTTTGCTCTGGAAACTGCCTCTTGAAAACTCTAATGAGAAGATTTTGCACGCTAAAAGCATGTAACCATGGAAATAACAGACAAGATTTTCTTTTTATTTTTGAGAAAAGGGGCAGAAGTATTTAAAATTAAATGCAAAAGCTCGATCATTTAGGAACCAAAAATGCATTTATTATGGATCTATTAACCTATGAAGGAAAATTCAGTATGAATTTGTCATTAACTACAAAAAATAAGCTTTAAAGTATAATTTCAAGATAAATCTTTAAGTGATCAAATTACTCTGTAAGGACAATTGGTGCAAGCAGCCAAGGACAAAAAGGGTTTCATCCATTCTTCCTCTACAAGGCCTTTTACTTCCATAGAGAACTTTAGTTCAGACCTTCACAGGTACACGCCGGGACTATTCACATGAGGAGTCTGCCTTGCTTTAACCACCTTATGTTTTCATTTCCTGTTCAAAAGCCTTTACTGTCTCTTCACAAAACAAACTTTAAATTCCTTGGCCTGGGAGATGTTTGGCACCAATCAATGCTTCCCAACATATCATCCTTAGTCCTCATCCACAGGGACAAACTCTCCCCCACTTCACTCCAGTTCCAGTAATAATGCATCTCTGCATTTCTTCATAATCTTGGTCTTCCCTGAAGTGTCCTCTCCTTTCCCTTATGCCTGTATGCCTGAATCATACTCTCAAAGCCAGGTCAGGCACAATGCCTTCTCCAGTCATCCAGGCCACAGTCCCTGCAACTGAACCACTCATAAAGCTCTTTGTGTACACCATCTCTTTCCTATATGGTACTGATTCTAATGTGTAAATTATCATTTCAGCTGTACTGTAAAACTTAAGGACATTTCTTATACCACTTTTTTATATTCTAGCACCTTTCACCCAACCCCTACCCTCATTCACCACAAGGGCCAGCATCTTTCCAATGGAGGTTCTCAGCTAGCATCTACTGAGTCAAAGACACATAATAGCAAAGATGCATGAAAATTAAAGGTTAAGTATCCCTTCATAATACAAGGACAATTTGAAACAAATGAGACTTCTGAGTAGCTAATTTTTTTTCTTTAACATTTCTAAGGATTTGGAATCCAAGATGATGCTACCAACTTGCTTTCTTCCAGAAGATACAGTGATGAGTTTGCCCTGGATTTCATGCTTTGCCAATGTGCCTGCCCCCAGAGGGCCTTCTGCTCACCCCATGACAATTCACTACAAATGCCTGTTCCCTCATCTGTCTATAGGAGTAGCTCCTTGAAAGCAAAGGCAGTATGTTCCATTTCTGATCTCTACATATTAGTAGCCCATATAGTAGGAACTCAGTCAATGATTGATCTAGCATCATGATTGTCTAAAGTAAACACAATTAAAGAATAACCTTTACTAGGCACATAAACATTAAGTAAACTTAATTCATGACTGTGTGATTTCAAATGAGACATATAGCCAAATTTTAAGGACTACATATATGTAAGTACTAAGCACAAAAATGAACACACAAACATCAAGAGAAATCTTATATGGACACACGTGTTTGCATGTGCATGATTTTTATACATCCTAGAATATTTCTAGAAGAAAGCACCATTTTAGAGAGGGAAAATAGGGAATAGAAGTGTTTTTTCTACTTTCCACTCTTCTGTATTATTTTTTTCTGGTGCAAAAGGTGTTTTTATTATAGCACGGGGGACAGGACCCATGGGCAGAAAGGGCAGCACTGGAGTTGTGAGGAGCAATTGATTATATACTTTGGAGTTGAGGAAGGTAAAGAAAAAGGGAAGTTTCCAAAAGGACTTTCATATGCTAAAGAAGAAGCGCGGGATCCTGGAGGCCTTGCTATTATCAAGCTAAGATTGTTTTTCCCTCTAGCAAAGCATTAACATTAAGATGGGAGTTTCCTAGAGGAATGTCTACTCTACCAGCCTCAAGTATTTGTCGATGGGCTGCAGGTTATAAGGAAATTTAATTTTATCTACATTTCTTTTCTTGCCTTTGTTCTCTACATCATTCCCCCCTGAACAATTTTGACCCTTAAATCTTTAAAGTTGTTACCTTCTGTAACTTCTTCCTGCTAAATAGGCGCGAGAGATGTCCCTACCTGTGGGTCAACATTGGTAGGTTGGAGAATTTATATACAGGAGCTACCAAAGGCAGAGACAGCCAGTCCAAGGTATAGACAATCTTCGGTATTTTTTTTAAACCAGGGAACATGTGGGGTGCCTGGGTGGCTCAGTTGGATAAGCATCTGCCTTCAGCTCAGGTCATGATCCCAGGGTCCTGGGATTGAGCCCCTCCTTGGGCTCCCTGCTCAGTGGGGAGCCTGCTTCTCCCTTTCCCTCTGCCTCTCTCTCGCCTCTGCTCCTGCACGTGCTCTCTCTCTCTCTCAAATAAATAAAATCTTTTAAAAATAAAATAAACTATGGAACATGTATAACTTTCAAATTAACTCCTCCTCCTTTGTGTATGACCACATGCACAAAGAGCAGTCTAATGACAGTTACAACATTTTTTAAAAAATGAGTCATCTAGGGGTGCCTGGGTGGCTCAGTCGGTTAAATGTCCAATTTGTGATTTCAGCTCAAGTCATGATCTCAGGGTCATGAGATCGAGCCCCACATTGGGCTCCATGCTGGCCATGGAGCCTGCTTAAAGATTCTCTCTCCCTCTGCTTTCCCCCCACTCATGCATGCTCTCTCTCTCTCAAATAAATAAATAAATAAATAAATAAATAAATAAATAAATATTTTTAAAAAATGAGTAGTCTACCATTAGAGCAAACTAACAGAAATTTTAGATGTTAGAGCTATGCATGAAAGCAGACAGAATTAGTGAGTTTTTAGAAGTCCAGTGGGGAGATATTTTGTGGTTTAATTTCTGCATAACAACAGATAAATTCCTTCTTAACTTAGTATTTCCTAATTTAAATTCTTCTTTCATCTCTGTGTTCAACATTCCTGTATGTTTAAGGATAAAATTACCCAAAGGTGTAATTGATCCTTCCAAGTAATAAAAAGAGACAGTAAAACTTTTTCCCCAAGGTACAAGATTATAGTAAGAAAAGCTTCTCAGATGTTCAATAAAAAGAAGCAACTCCTCCTCCACAGTGACTTTAACTAAAATGTACTTTTTAAGTAAAGTGTTCAGTCCTCATAACAGAGGGTGGACACTGAAAATTGTCTAGATATCACATATCAACTCCCTCCCTTTTGTCAGAGTAAAGAGATCTAGCCTTCTGTGGGAGATTTTAAATTGTGACATAAGTCTCTTTTGGGGGGTCATGATCTTCTCATCTTTATATACCAGGCTGCTAAAATAATCTAGCAAATAGTAGCTTCTTAGTAAGCATCGGTTCAATGAATGACATTTACTGTATATACATTTGTAGAAATCAACAGAGTAATATAGCTCTGAGAAGTAAGGAAATAGTTTCTGTAACTCGTAGATGGCCAGTTTTACTCTAAAAAATATATTTAGAACATAAATGATAAAGACCACTTTGACAAAATAACTCCAAATCCAGTTTAGCTTTATATAAGCCTGGGAACCAACTCCTGAGTTACTCGAGTGATGTGGTGCTATAAGGAACGGGGTAGATGTAAGATGGTCCCGAGATCCTGGGAGTAGAGAATCCCCAGGTCTGTTTTACTTCTTTCAGACCAGGAGGGAGTTGTGCACATATCTTGGCACAGTCTAGTTTCTATATCTCAGTGACTGATCAGAAAAATAATTTTTTCCTTCCAAGAATACAGACTCATCCTGGTGCCTTGCAGTATTTCTGGAATATCTCCTCTGGGTCTCATCAGCTCACCACCTTGTAAAGATGAGAAGAGAGTTGCTTTTCCTACCATTCCTCCCATCTGGTAGATTCTATTTCCCTCCCTCCCCATATAGTCCTCCTGTGCACAAATCTCATGACAAGATGCATCCTTGATTCTTTGCCTCTGCCTCTTCATTTCCTTCTACTTCAGTTCCTGTCCTTAGAATCAGTTTTACTATGTTAAGCTCTTGTTTTCCATATTTTGCTATGCTGGCTACATCATTTTGGTCAGGATCAATCTCTTTGAAAAAACAAAGTTATGGCTCCAATTCCAACTGAGACTCTCTCCATCTTTATATAAAAGCAGCAAACCACAAGATCATTTCAAATTTTTACTAGCATAGTTATTTTAAAAGGAGAAGAGCAGGAAGAAGATAGTTTTAGAAAGCTTTCCAGATACATAGAAGTTTTAAATTTATGACAACCAGATAATGAATTCCAAACTGTTTTAATACTTCCTCAACTTTGAGTCCAAACCAAGTCTCTCTCTCTCTCTCACACAAACACACACACACACACACACACACACACACACACACAAGAAAGTTGCAAAATGGCAGTGCACCTACCTGAGGATAGGGGGAAGTTCTGGATTTTGACTTTGAGCTGGAGAGCCTGGACTTGGCCCCCTTCCTGTTGTCAGTCATGGTAGGAGTGGAGCTGCTGGTGTAGGAGAAGGCTGGTTTAGAGGCTGAGATTTGATCCAGGGAGAGCTGCAACCCTTTGTATTCCGTGTCCCTGTAGGGTGAGAGGACACAGCCCTTAATCTGCCACCACAGGAAATGGCTACATGTGTTCTCTCACCAGGAATGGCAGTAATCCATATTTGAAAAGGAAGCAAGCAAAAGTTAGCCATATAACTGGTCGCCACAAACACCTTGATTATTTTAGAAATGCCTAATATTTAACTAATGTATACAGAGGTAGCTGTATAAAGCCAAATTATATGATATGCTCATGAAAATGTCTTGATTTTAAAACACATTTTTGATTACTTTTATAAGTAGAAAATAAATCCATAACTCAACTTCTCTGAGCTTGTGTGTCCTCATTGGTGAGGTATAGATTATAAAATCGACTCTAAAGGATTTTCTGTGTAGGGTGAACTCAACAGACAACTGACCATCTGATGCTATCTGATTATTGGCAAGAAGAAAGTCAGCTGTTCCAAAATCAGTCATTGTGGCAAACATTCCTAATATTTTTATAGCTAGCAAACCAGTGAAACTAGGCTACTAAGTAGTTAAAAATCCCTTTTAACCGGCTAACTAATTCAGTTACATTAGGGTACATTTTACCATGAGTTATTTCCACTTCATCTTCAATAAATATCTATTAAGCTCCTACGACATACCAGGTTTTGTGCTATCTGGAAATGAAAGAATGAGTAAGATGCCTAGAGTCCCTGCCCTTCCACAGATTACAATCTATTTCCAAGAAGAAACAGTGAACAAATATCAAACATAATCATTGCAGACTATGATGTGATGAGGATAAAGAGTATGTCTTGGAGAGTTCATTACAAAGGTATGTGGGTATAAGGTATTTAGTGACTGAAGATGACAGCTATCACCTCAGCCCGCTCCAGGCAGCAGAGAATCTTGACTGACTCCTCAGTTTTCATAAGAGGATATCAACCTTTCCCACTGGCAGGCAAAATAAAATGTTTCATAGCCTTCTTTATGAGGACTCGTGGAAGAATTTCCTTTCAGGTTCCAGAACTAGTTAGACTGCTCCTGGGTAATTGATTTCTTTTTCTCTCACAGACACCATGAATCATATAACCCATCATGTTTCCCCCGTTGCCCTGGAAGTCAAAAAGCCCTGAGCCCCAAGTCTGATTTGTAACCACCTCTAACAAGTGGACGAGTCCTCAGGGCAGGCATTTTGTGCAACAAACCTCACTAGCTTCTTTCATTTTCCTAATTTTATTTTTCCTTTTTTTCTAATGGGTTCGCCTTTCTAAAAAATGTACATGCATTTTTAATACTCTTTGGCTTAAGATAGGTATATTAAATGTAATAAACTAATAAAGTTAGATATGTTAAAGTGATTGGTAGATTTCTAGGGATCAGCAAAGATTCATTTATCTTCTCTTCCTTTTCCCTATTTGTACTTCTACAGAGAGATCAGGCAAAGGCAAAAGGATAATTCAGGCCAGGAGTCTCTCAAGTGACAAGGGATAGAAATCAGCTGAAACAGGTTCAATAATATCACTGCCACAAACTACAGCATGCTGGTATATGTCAGCAAATTACAATGACTTTATATCAAATAGTGCATCTACTCAGTGCGAGTTAAAAAAAAAATTATCCTATGTTAGCAACAAAAATTTAGAAGGTGGGCATGCAATTTGTCTTCCAGGCTTGGGAAGTTGAATCATATGACTGGTCTGCTTTACTACTCTTATCATCTCCCAAGGAAAACACACAACAGAGAGTCGTTGCACTCCCAGGTCAGAAATTCAATGCCCTCCAAAATGTGGTTCCCACCTATTTTTCTGACAGTATCTGAAAATTTTTGTTCATCAGCCCCTCAGCTTACCCAAAATAGTTCTCCCCAAACTAACCTCATACTTTCCTCTCTTCCTCCTCCAACACATTCCTATAGAACTCCTCTAAAGAAGAACTGTCTTAAATCCTACTTGCCCTGAAGCCCTTCCCAACTGCTGACCCCATTCATTCCTTCAACACATGTTTACTGAGTGAGTGACTCTGTGGAGGCCCTGGGGAGACATCAATAAACAGAAGGACTAAGTTGCTGTGCTCATGAAGAAGACACCAGGGCCAGTTCCTTAGGGAAGTAGGGAGGGGACCAAAAACTATCTCCAACCTTATTTTTCAAGTGATAATGTCTAATCTTTCCTAGAGGTTCTAAGTTCCTAGAGGGCAAGAGTCAAGAAACGTCCTGTTATGTTCCAATGGCATAATATTTCACACATTTGGAAGAGGAAGAAGATAAAGACGCAGCTCAGAAAGGACTGTTTTCCTCAATGACTATTAATAACCAGCAGCCCAACAGTATGTCTCTGTTGGAAAAGACCCCTCTGGGCGGTGAGTCCCATGAACCACCTGCCCTGAGATCACATGCATGTGACAGTGAGCAAGATGGTCTCTGACAGGAGGTAGAGCTCCCTTGCTTGGGCATCTCCTCTGTCAAATGGATACTAGTATATCCATTCAGTCCCTTCCCAACAGGACCTAGGCTGAAAACAAAAACCTTGCACCCATGAACATATGGCCACACAATTTTTAAAACACACTCTTAATGCAACATTTCAGCACAGAGACTTCATGGTGATAAATAGAGGTAAACAAGGATTCATTTCTCTCATGGACACCATCAGACCCCCCAAAGTATGTATCTCAACTACTGAAGAAGTCTTCCCAAACTTTTTGCATAGTTTCCAATGATAGAAATACTCTGAATAAACTTAAATAAAAATTCAAAACCAATAAACGATTTGAAATTCTACACAGTCACATGAAAATGTTAAGAACTATAAGAATAGTTATGCAAATACTTTCAATAAAAAAATTTAATATTTTGGTGCACATCTAAAAAGACCACAAAGAATCCACCAAAATAGCAAAAGATCATGAGGTCAGATAGACCATGGTTTGAGCCACTTACTGTGTAACAGCCCATCTAGACCTCAATTTCCTCTTTATAACTCAGAGATGGATGTGCTAAGGTTTAGAAAAGTATTATACGAAAAACTCACAGCACAGTGCCTAGATCAGAGTAAATGCTCAATAAATACTAAGTATTATTTCTTTACTTCCACACTTTGTGGTGCTTTTTTGGCACCTGATTTCCCCAAAACAATAGTTCCACTTTGGTAGCAATTGTAATACATTTTATTACAAACACCTCCTTATGGCTGTATTTCTTTCCTCTCTACCACTAACTCATGTTAATTTGCTCTGTTGCTTCTTGGTCTCTAAACTCTATTGCACTATGGCCAAAATACTTACTAAGTAAGGTAAGCTCTTCATGGCTAAGTAAGCAAATGGGGATTTCAGAGCTGCACAGACCTGACATGCTGAGAGGAGCTCAGCCTTCCTATTCCTCTAACAACTCAAAGATGTGTTAAGACAAAAAGCACAATAAAAAAAATACCCACTTAAAGACATTTCAAGTACAGTTGATGTGCTGCCAAGAGCAGCTCTGAATGACAGATTCACTAAGAACAAAGCATTTGTTTTACTTTTAGAATTCTATTAAATCGGAGCATTTCATTTGTATGGATTAAAGGTCTAGATGCTGATGGGAATCACATTATGGGTTCCATTTCCCTCCTCCAAACTCAAACACTCCCTCCCTTCTCCTCAGTGAGGCACATTCTGGTATCTCTCTCTCTCTCACACACACACACACACACACACACACACCACACACCACACACACATTCTCAAAGTTAGGTATATGCCTAGTAAAGCTGTTCAATGTTCCCCTGTGGAGCGGGACAAAATAGAATACTTGGGTGCACAGCCCTTGGATTCTGAAATGAGTATAGGGAGGAATTTGACTTCGCTGACTTTAGTAAAGGAGGGACAGGACACAGCCCTACTCTACCTCTAAAGCTTTCCTGAAAAGTACCACCTAGACCATGTTCAGGACTCCACAGGCTCCCCTCAGTAGGGCAGCTCATGCTGTTCTCCCAGATACAATCGGCATATCAAAAGAGGAGCTGTGGCATATGCCCTTGGCATATTTTTCAAAATGGTTATTGATATCAATTTACTTTTTTTTTTCTCCCTTGAGTGACCTGTACTAAAGCTGCAGACATCAGGTACCTCGGCTCCAAAAGCAATGTGAAATGGGTAATTTGCACTCACGGACTTGCAGCTTGTCAATCTCACTTGTATTTGCACAGGCCAAAGTAATCCTCTTATTCCATTATGGACAGTCAGAAATCATTCAATTTGCAGAATTAACCATCTGAGTCTACTCTAAACTTTATAATAGTCATGTACATATTTGGAATTACTCAAATTCCAAAAGAATAAAAGGGGCCATTTTTGCATCATTGGCCTTCTTGGCCTTCCCTTCGGCAATATGCCATGACCACTCACGAGGTAAGTGCCAACTTGCCATATGGGAACCTCAGTGCGATGCCCTTGCAAAGCAAATAAGAGTTATCTTCATCACTAAAACGTACTTTTAGCTTCAGAGAAATGCATTAATATAATTTCTATCATTTTGACTGGGAGACTGGTGTCCATGATGCCAACAGCAGCACTACAATATTTACAACCTTCAAGTGAGGTGGAATGATTGTACAGATAAGCAATCAGCAGTATTTTATCAGCTCATGTTGAGTCAAGATTCTTCACAAGAACCTTTCCTCTTCAACTCTGCCATATCCTATTGTGCTTCCATTTTAGACAAGTGACTTTTTGCTTCTGTCATGTCAGTTTTGAAGCTGGCCATTGTGAAGTGTCTTTGCTGGCTTTACGTTATGGGGCAATACTTAAAAGATGTTGCCAGATTTCCCAACTGAGCTATTAAAAAAAAAAAAAAACCAGCTGAAGGTGATCAAATTATAGAGGAAAACGTGGAAACAGAGACATACAATTGATTTGGCTCCAAAGGCGCTGACTGCAATAAGCAGAGGATTGCATTAAACTGTGATCGGATTAAGTAGGAATGACTGCGTCTTATACTAAACTTTTTAATTGGATTCTCGAATCACTGTCACACGAAGTGCATGACCTTCTTTATATTCTGGCAGA